TAATAATACGGTTGTGGATGCTACTCACAAGAATGTTTGCCTCGATATTGCCTTAATTCACAAGCTTTTTTGTAAGCAATGATAAATAGTGGCTAGCAGTGGAATCCAGGACGTGCGTTTCGTCCTATTTGAGACTCGTATGCACATATGCCAATAACAGACTGATCAATTGCAGTGTTAAACCTCAATGGGAAGATACAAGCCAAACAATACCAAGTGAATTCAACTTCACCCCATTGCACAAGCAAGTGGCTATCAGGACTGAGTAGCTGAGTGGATAACGCGATGGCGTTTGAAGCGAATGGTACTGGGTTCGAGTCCTAGAGTGAACATCAACTCTGGGATGCCAGTACATCCTGCTGACGAGTCCCAAATAGGACGAAACGCGCGTCCTGGATTCCACTGCTAGCCACCACCCTTCATTGCTTATATAAATACAGAGTTGTTGGATAGAGTTCAAGCGCATACATCAATAACCGTTATATCATAGGCTTATAAACACTACAAAATTTATATTATTTCATATGACGATGCATATACCTTAATTTATGCATGATACATACATATACTAATACTAATTGTGTTGAAGTATATAGATAAAATATTTCACTAATTATCAGATATTGATTTGTTTATTTATTTTTTTAACCTGATAACATGAGAAACATACCAAACTAGATTAGACGGCTCAGTAACAAAGAAAGTTTCTACTTTAATCTGCATGAAAAAGCATAAATAGTTCAAGGTTAATCATTATTACTATTATGTAATTGCTTTTAGTGTTTAATGTAAAGGCTAGACAGTCTGTAAAATACTGAAAACACTTGTCTTAGATTAATAAATAAACTATTAATTGAACTTCTATACAAAAGCAGAATGCATAGACTGCTTAAGTATGTGAAATACAAAAAAATTGTTAATGGAACTATGTACAAAATTTATGGCTCAATATTACCGAAAACATATATCTACCTTATGAAATGATGTGTATATTTTGTACTGTTATACACAGTTATATAAAAAACTTCATACAGTTTGAATGTAATTGCTATCCCATACTGATGTCATCTAAACAACCATAGGAAATCATCGAAGATCGAAAACTGTTTCATTTTACACCCGAATATATGTCCGTGAGACACGCATACGGTATAGAGACCGAAAACTCTCAGTCTTGATGATAGATATTATGCCTTTAATTCAAGGGCTTATACAGCACATTTTTACTCAATACCGTTGAAAACTGAAAATTTAACTCTGGAATTGGTTGACTTTACAGTTCCCTTTCAGGGAATATTTTTTCAATCTCAATGAATACTAATTCACAGATAAAAAGATACATATTGCCTCCTAGATTATCCTTTGAGAAAATTGGATGTTAAGATTTTCAGCTTACTAATTCGATAGCAGGAGAAGTGGTGAGTCTTAAACTTAAAGTGTAGCAATTCTTTTAGGAGTTATTGATTTCGGTCATCACGTGAAAATACATTATCAGGATGAAACTTTGTACATGAGATTTGTCCATAGATAATTTAATGAAGAAAATCATGACTTGAACCTAAACACATGCACTAGAACCACTGAATCGTAACAAACAACCATCAAATTCTCAATATAAATTGAATATATGACCCACTGTTGTCTGGAAATCGAAAGTGTTTACAATAATGTTCTACAATCCAGTTTCTTTTATTAGAGTTCACTCGACAATAGTAGAATGAGTATATTTATTTACAAGACAATTTTTCTTATTATTTGAATGTTGTAATTTGTTTAGTTGAAATTCTAATACGATCATAACTTTATTTAAATAAAATTTCATTATCAGTTAATTTAAACAAATGAAATCAATTGGGAATGTTCAAGCAAGAATCGAGTCAGGATATCGTGTTTTATGTATATTTCTGTCGTTTATACTTACCTACTTATCTACCTAAATTGAAACAACAACAATCTGCTTGATTATCGTCAAAATGTCAAACTGATTTAGTAGAATTTTGACAACAGCAACAATACCACTACTATACAAAATATTGGAAAAAGAAATTCAATAAGAGAAAAAGGTAAGCAGATTAATACTCTTCAATGACGCATAAATGATTCATTGATCTTTTTTTATTCATTTACTAGAATGTCATCGAATACAGACACACCGCCTGTCAAGGTCACATACATCTGTCGTTTAATGATTTCCTCTTGTCATTATTCAAGGAAGTAGGACAATTTTTCATTCCAACCAAACTAGGTACAGTTGCGTCTATTTATGGTATGGTCGAATGAGAGAAGGCGGGAGGTGACAGTGGCACCACGACAAATCTATACCGTCACAAAGATCTAAACAATTTAAGGTAAATACTATTTTTGGCATGTTAGAATACGTACTGAGTGTGAATTTCTGTACTTAGCTTTGAGTTATACCATTTGAATGTAAACTAGTAATAACTAATTGATTGATCAAATTCAAATAATTGAAACAGGATTCAAACTTGTGACTTATTATTGTTGCAAGACAACTATTCTATTCAATAAACCATGATGTTAAAGGCAATCGATTCAAATTTAACGTCACCAGAAGTTACTAAAAACAATTTTACCATTTGCGAAGTACTTATCTCGATAAGTTAGCGTCAATTTAGCATAAAATTATTGAGAACCAAGGTTTAATTTCATGAATGTAAAGATTGCTAACAAATGATTTGTAATTACGACAAAACAGTCGTATTCTTTCAACTGTTTTCTTCTCTTTCTCTCTCACTTGCTTTACCTACCAGTTAACGTTAGTTTATGATGTACGTCGACTGAAAAACACCTCATATAAAAAGTGTTCACAAAATCTACATAGAATTACTGATTTAATTAAATATTATTCTCCTAACCCAGGTAATATTCAATTTTTAAAATGAAATTTACCCAAACATAATTATTTCCACCCCCCCCCCTAAAATTAGGTTTCTACATTTTATTACTTTTTGAAAAAAAGAATAAGCAAGTAAATTTTCTTTCTTTTATTTCTCTGAACAAAAAGCCAATGTGGAAGTAACAAAAAAAACAAGCATATGGAATAAAAGAGGAAAAAACATAACTTGTTTTCACTAACGAGTAAGTAGTTTATAATGATAATTTACAATTGAGACATATTTATTCTACACTCTTTATACGGTATACTAGCTGACTAAGAAACAATATTATAAATCATTACATGCCAACTTAAATCAATCTTAACACAGAATAGTTATTACGCAACATTCCAGACTGATTTGCTAAATACATGAAAATCAACACTGAAATAAAAATCAATCATGAATAATACATACATTGAAAAACATACTACTGTAATTCAGTCAAATATGATCATAGGAAAAGAAATGATAATCTGAATAAATAATGAGTAGTATGAATTGATGTTGAGTTAAATAAAATTGTCCAGAAGAAAAAAATACTATCATAGAGAATAACTAAGTAAACTATGTATAATTGTAGGGCAAGCTATGATGAGTAGAGTGCTACCATACAATTTTTTTTACCAGGATGACAATTATTACGGAAAACGAAATGTGGCTTAGTGGATTTTAAATCAGTTGTTAAAATGTAATACACTCACCAGGAGAAATCAAGGATTTAATTTCAATTCATGGCGTTAGTGTAGGTGTTAACTGGTGGGGAATTCCAGAATATGGCTTAAAAGAAAACAACTAATCAGTGTTCACTAGATTTCCATAGTTCTCCAACATTAAAACCCCATATCAATTCTAACAATTATATATATATATATATATATATATATATATATATATATATATATTGAAAGTAAATTCAAAAAGTTTGGTATGAGAACAATATCATATTGACCACCCCGAATTAGATAAACAAACATACTGGTTGATTGACATAATATACTTTAAAACATACACAGATTGTAACGACATTGCAATAAGAATGACAACAAAACAGCGGACTGAATCGGAAAGTTGAAGCAACATTGTATTTTTCCACAGTTTACAGGCTAATAATACCTTTATGATTTAACAAGCAAATTGACTTCAACTGCAGAACTGTTGGAAATCAGGGATCATTGAATAAATGTTTCATTTTAATTTCAGACATCTTAAAATACTTCATCCACAACCTTTGGGTCTTGTGATAAGTGTATCACCCCCAAATGCCCTGGTACGGCTGAGAGTGGGGAGAGTCCGCTCTCCCTCTCGAAATGCTCTCACATGGCCACGCGTATACAGCCTCTGACAAGGAAGTTCTATTCACTGCCTTCTCGTGGCAGCGATGTTGTTTACGAAAATAAGAGGACGAAAAGCGAATGTCCGGCGCTTTAACCGGATTCCAAACCAAATCGATGGTGCACATGGACTGGCTCCAGTATCCTGCGGGAACAAATGGCGTATGAACCAATCGTTGGTCACCGGCTACCATGGGACTGCATCTCCTTACGATGCTCCACTGCCTTGTGGATCACACCTTCAGGTTAAAGGCTCGGGGTGTGGTCCCCTAAGAAAACCACCTACTTCTGTGTGGGCACCCGGGCAGTATCACAGCCCTCAAACAAATCGAATGATTTATGTGGCGCATATGTATTTGGTGCCTCCCTGTACCAATATCTATGTGTTAAAATAAATAATAATAATCACCCCTAGACGACTGATTTGGAATTTAATGGTCGAATAACCTCTGGTTTTCAGTGGTAGTTGGTATTTGAAGAGTATGACGGTGCATCAGTGGTAGGAAAGACAACAATGCAATGCGATTACTCATTATGTAATTAGGATTATCATCACTGATTAATCTGAAAAGTTATCTATAGTTCAAAAATATCATGAATTTCTTAATTATATAATCTTATTAAGTTAGTCAGTTGATTAATCTATTGAAATCTATCTTGTTTGAATTTTTAAGGACCGGATATGTAAGTGAAAGGAACTTAATGATACACAAAAAAGTGAGTAGACGGACAAAATTATTAATAATTAATAATAGTAAAAACAATTTACATTAGGTATAATTGAATCCAAGTCTGGAGTAGCATCTGGTCCAGCAGTGATAAAAATATTAGAATTCATTATTGTTTCAGATTTTCCAAGTGTAGAGAAATTATTTGGAATAGATGATAAGTCCGGTACACAAAAATAACCAGCCCATAGCATTCTAGGTCGTTTACAATGACCTTGATTGACCGATGAAGGATGCACGGTATCTATCAAAACACAAATAAATAATTTATTACAGCATTAAAATATGTCACTGAAGCGCAAAGTAAACTTTAAAAATATGACAGGAATACTCTTAATCAATAGATGCATTGGATCTAGAAATGGATTCTAAGAGGCATATTTCATCTTGTTTGGGACTCATCAGCTGGATGTATGTGTATCCCAGTGTTGAAGTTCACCCAGTATCAGAGATATCATATCCACCAGACAACTGAGTGGGTGTTTGGATTCAGTAGCTTAGTGAATAACCTGTTGAAAGTACAAAAGGAGAGTCAGTGAGTTCGAGTCCGGTTGTGAGCATCAGTTCTGCGATGCAGGTATGTTTAACTTATGACTTCCAAGTAGAACGAAACTTACATTATGGATCCCATTACCATCTACCATCCACACAATAATAATTGAAATGTTCTTTTTACAGTAAAAATACATTTTTCATGAAGGTCAAAAATATTTTCTTTATAAAATTCACTTAGAAGAATATTTCTAAATAGAAATAAGAAATAAATAGTAGTGAAAATGATGGAATATTTTTCAAATTGATGCATCAACTACCAATGGAACTATAATTTTCAAATTGTGAAGTAGACAAGACAAACAAGCAAGTTGTAAAGGTCAAAAAAAGATGAAGTTATCTCAAATAACTATTTTAATACTAAGTTATAATTTTGAAAAAAAAGTCACTCTGTGAGAAGATTCCACATCAAATTCATGCAATTAGTTTAATCTTATGATTATGCTTAAAAGCAATTCGTTTAATATGACATTATTAGAGACTATTTATTATGCGCCAGGGTTTTTTGTTTGTGGTGATTAACAAGAATATGTGTATTTGCCATCTTATGGGGTCCAAGGGTTAGTTTCGTTTACTAACGATCCTAAATTTAATCAGACAGTGTGCCACAGTCAGCAGTATAGTTACTAAGTTATTAAGGCTACAACAAATAACCTGTTGTTGAACCGACATATTTACACCAATCAATCGTTGATTAGTATAGTGCTTAGCAGTGACCGAAGAACTTCATTACAAAAGAAAAGCTTAGATGTAAAGTTTGTAGTGATAACTTTAAGCTCCAGTTGATTTTCAACACAGATTGTCATTAACTGGAGGAGGTGACCAATGAAAATAAAAGGTCAACGAATAACTGTATGATCATTTATAGACAGTAGTGAGAACAAATAAACTAAAGTACATAGGTAATCTGATTTTATGACTGAATGGTTGTCGTTGAGATACACCTTATTGTGTATAGGTTAGCGATACTTTATGAATGACTAAAACAGAGCAGATGTATTGATCAGTTATATTAGCTTAATTTAAAATACTAGTAGATTTCTCTAAGCACAAAACCAGGTTATTATTGATAAAAATAAGAACGGCGACAAGTGATCACGATATAATAATCATATATCCGTACAAACATAGCTTAGATGATAATAACCAGACTAAACAATAAACATCTATATACTATGTCTTCTACTCACTTTCACCATCACACACGCACACCCTGTCTTCAAACAAAAAATAGTTCACTGATTAAAATGCCACCAAAATAAAACTTTAAAGAAAACGACATTAGCGGACCACCCATACAAGTGAACTTCGATTGAAATTTTAAAAAAGGTACAGACTTTTTTTTAAAGGTAAGTAACTTTAGTGTACTGTCAATAATGCTTTGTACAGCTAGCATTTTTTTAGATTAATAAGTTGAAATAACTATACAATAGTAGTATACAGAGGATGAACTGAATGATGGACGTGACAATCTATAAAAGTCATATTAAAAAATGATACGTCTGTTAATGGAACGATTATTGGTGGCTTCCTAGCCACTACTTATAACCACTGGTTACATCTACATTCCAGATAAAAGTACAGAAAAGGCAAGAAATGTAAAGTTAATTGTATGTGGAAAATCGAGTGCATTCAGAGTTTAAAATGGTTTTATTCTTACGAAAACATATGAAACATAATAACGATGTAGGTAATTATCTAACCAAAATGTGACATGCAACCTTTCATTTTTTTAGATGTCTCTCTGACAGCTGATTGAATGAAACGCTGCTACGAGTTTTTGGGTTATTAGAGACTCTTACAAGATATATATACTAATGAACAGAAACATGTACATATATATATATATATATATATATATATATATATATATATATATAAACAGTGTGGAAAGAAATGATTACTGCCCTGTACAAAATAATGATACTATAGTGTGTGCTATTGATGTCGACAGATATAAGTAGTATGTATCACCAATTGAAAGTGAAATGTCTGGCGGCAGAATATTAAGATGATGAAAGAGAAGAGAACGAGAATTATTATTATTATGGGAAAGAAGAAACGACCAAGTCTGAGACAATTGATTGACACTTTGCAAATGAAGTATTTGCTGTATGGTTCACAGATGTTACTAAGACGTTCTGTAATTTTGCATTCAAATACATTCGGTTGTCCCCACTTGTGTGTTCTCCTTTACTACAATGCTGCTGTTATAGCCGTGTGTTTTAATTTTTTCATTTAGTCATCACAAACATTGATTCAGTTAGGTTTTATCCCTCTTCTTCTCTTTCTCTCAATCTATCAACAATTTTGAATTCTATTTTATCACGCAATAATGAGTCACATATCTGAGCTGAGAAAAAAAGAAAACATAAAGGAAGAAGACAACTACAGCAACTTTCAGCTATCCATACGAGAATAACTTTTAAGGCAAACACTACAAACAAAACAAAAGTAAAATATACTTAGAAGTAGTTATAAACAAAACAGAGAAAGTATGGAATGTAATTTTACTGCGATAGAAAAAGGAAGGGAAATAGGAATAATACAATTTTTTGTGAGAAACATTATCTCAGAAAATATTTTAACTTATGTAGAGAGGCAATTCGCACAGAATTCACAGATGCCAATAAGAGACTGATCAATTGCAGTCCTAAATGTCAATGAGAAGATTCAAACATACAATACAATATGTAGAGTAGGATTAATCAAATGAGAAAAATGTGAATGGATAATCGTTGTTCCATTGAAAAAAAAAGGATTATTTTTAAAGGAATCAATTTCTAAATATTATGTTAAACGAATTAACGTGTAGATTGAATATTAGTTCGTTGATGTCATGAAATAACATTGTTGGCTGTTTAAAAAGATGAAAATCTACTAAATTTCAAATAGAATAGCATCAATTACGGAGTGATGGCTGGAACTTTCAATGCTTTTGACTTGATCACTAACATGATTAAATTTGTGTCGGCCAACATAACAACACTAGAAAAATAGATCTCTTGAACTGCAGCTCTACTTTAATCTCTCAAAATTCTAACATATTACAGCAATTCTTTCTTTACTGACAAAAGTAAACTGAAAAAGGAACCAAATAGTCAATTTATAGAAAAGTACAACTATCTACTTCCATCCTGGATGTACTCATCTGTTGATTTATCTTCTGTTATGATCCAACAAGAGATCTAGAGAAATCATAAAGCATTAGCGTGAATGGTTACTTCTATATCCCTCAACGAAAAATACTAATTTTCTTCTGAATATTGATTGTAATGGCTGAGATAAATGTACAGAAACCTATCTCCATAAACTATTGTAATATATGAAAATAATTAAATCAAATTACTTAAAATAATAGTGAAAAAAGGCAGTAAATGTAGGTCGAAAAAAGACAACAATTCGAATGTCCAGTTCACTTTATCCTAAAATTATCCGCACTCATTATCTTAATTATCAACCGAATGATATATTATCGACCGAATTATGTACCATCCTACTGAAACATAAATTGGAATGAAAAGTGACCTTCAACTAACTCACTAACTAACTAGTTAATTAATTAACTATTTGTATGAAGGTTAGTGATACTAACTCGCTGCCCAAACCAAAACAGACAGCGCGGAATTCGTAAATAAAACCTACTGGTTGAAAACCAAATATCATATCCAGCAAATTAATTATCTACAGTATACGGAAATAAAATATGAAAACTGTCATTATATGAAAGTCACGTAGTTAAAAATTGCTTTTCATTGGATAAATATGCATTTCTTAGCCAATGAAAATCAACAAGAACTGATAAACAACTAAACCACTATGGGTATAACGTAGAAACAACTTTATCATTTATCCACTAAAAGCTAACAGTGGAATCAAAGTACAAAAAACGTCTTTCGTGTTATGTCCCACTGTGTCATCACATGTATTTGTGTACGCACATATTTAAATGTTTTCAATCAGACCACAGCTTTAAGCTTTGCAATGTTATTTACAATAATACCTATAAGATCTATAAAGCATTATTGTTTTATTGTAAGACTGAATAATGAGTGTACTTAGTATTTTGCACATTTTTTGAGATGAAAAACTATAATGTCATTATGATCAGTTAGATGGTGATTATAATTTATCGTTGAAATAGTTATTTGAGAACAAAAATAGATTTTCGCATGAACAGATTAATCTTGATTCGATCAGTGATCTATGAGCAACATATTCACCCACAAGATATGCTAGGTTTGAGTTTGATCAAGTGTAAGGTTACAGGCATGTGTTGGATGAAATAATTATCTAAACGATTTCTTGGTTATTAATGGTTTTTTAGTTAATGTCTACTAGGTAGAAAAGTAACTTCACGCAGTGATTGCAACTATCAAATTATTTGTGTTTTACGTTAAAATGATCAATAAATAGTATGATATGAATACAACTTAAACTATAGATTCTAGTGTTTAAGTATTGACTATCTTTACTACTCTATAATTAAACAATCTTACGTAACAGTGAAACGTACAAGGTAAACCTATGAGTTCATGCACAGATAAAAATATCATCATAATCATTATCTTAATATTATTAATGATATAAATGAGATATATCATTAAAACAACACCTAATTACATGTATATATCACAGATGCTCAAATTTATTTTAACTGCTTTATGTGTGCAGGCACGGACATATATGATG